AAATGAAGAATAATATTGACATTAGATATAAGTATGTAAGTTAATTGAGTGAGGGAGAGAATATACCAATTCTTTAGTTGAAGAATTTGCTCAAATGGGGGATTAATGAGCACTGATGAGTTCATTTTTGTAGAGACAGATATGCCTAAATAGTCATTGAATTTAGCTTTCATGTATGATGTTTAAATTGGTATGTATTGGCGTGATTGTGTAGTAGGACGAATGAATCTACCATTAAAAGAAGTTACTTTTAGTCTGCTGCCCACAAGATGGTTTTTTTGTGATGGTGTTGCAAATGGTATGACATTCATTTGACATGAAATTGTCCCACATCTGTAGAATTCGTGTTTCGAACCTGTAAGGTTTTTAGTCGTATTTAATATCTACCTGAAAGAGTTACTTTAGTGTAGGCAGTAGTGTCTAACCTTTCGTTCATGAGGATGACGTCTTGCACTGTTGATTGGCTATCATGAACTTAAATTACTCTTTTGGGGAAGATGTCGATTGTAATTCCAATGATGTCTACATGAAGTAAGTTGTGTTTGTAATTAGTATGAGCTGTAGTGCACGTTTAAAATAGAGGTAATGAAGTGTAGGATGCTAAATAGGATTGCAAGTACTTACTAATTTCTGCCTTTGTGTCCATGTATGGCCGAAGGTTTTGGAATGATATGAAGTTGTAAGCTGATGAAAGGAGAGAGTTGAATTGTTCATTAATTTCAACAATTTTGGTTTTCGCGTTGATTGCCCATCGGATGTTACCAAGTTGGGCGGCATAGTTTTTATCAGTTTCTTTAACTTGTGCATTAGAGATGAGGTATTTTTTTATGGTAGTAAGGTGTCTTCGAAAGCTGTGATGGCATTGTCAAATAGTGTAGCTTGAACTTTATTCCCTGCAAGAAAATGAAGTTGAAAGATGTTATGGTCAGATTTTATAAGAGAGGAAAGATAAGAAGTTATAGGAATCGTGTTCTACCAATTCATCACATTGCATATAGGTAGATAAAATCATTTCTTAGAAAGGGCTAAACTATTTAGATAGAAAAGGTGATGGTCTAAAGTTGTGTCAAAGGTAAATGTAATTGTAGAAGTATACAAAACTCAGTGTTGGATAAATTAGTAACTTTACCAGATAACATGTAGGCACATGAAAGCAACAAAAATCACAACAGGTTTTCGCATATTATATAATTGTTTAAAGTGATCCCAAACAGAACTCTCGAAGTTCACAAACCACATATAGACCTGGTAGCTTTCACTTCTCGTAAGATCACAATCAAAGACTAAAATACACTACAATTGAATTTGAAAATATGGGTCATGTGTCACTGCATTACAGTATGATACTCATTCTTCTTCATTTCTAGAATTCCAATTCTCCATAGCTCATTAGTGCTTATAACTTGCAATATTTTCTAAAATAAAACAGTAAATTAACTTCTCAAGAAACTATATTACACCAATATTGACAAATTCTTCAAAATTACAGCAATCGAAAATGGCTAAATTGGATCAATATATGTGCTAACAAATTCTAACAAACCATTACAAACCCAAACAATTAGTGCTATAACAGACAGACAGCGAAATTGATTGAGAGAACAAAAGGCAGAAAAGCAAGATGTAAAAAAATTATCCAGGGACCCGTAGTCTCCATACTTTTAGTCTGCAGGTAGAGACTTGTCATCATGTGACCTTTTTAGACATTAGAGATATGCCTATATAAGTGCACTGATTTAAAATTCAATGGTTTTCAAAGTTGATATAAAATCCATATAGATTCTAAAAGGGAAATAAACTCGGTTCTATGTTGATTTTATTTAAAAATGGTTTAATATACATGAAAATATAGGCCATAAAGTTCTTAGCTTAGTTGATCTAGGAAGTAAAATCTATTGCAATTGAAATTTGCATTACATATATTGCAATTGAAATTTGCAGGGATGGATTTCATAGATTTTAGTTTATAATACTGAATCAGAATTTCTTTCAAACCATTTACTTAAGAGAATTGACAATGTTAGAAAGAAAATGGTAAGAAATGAGCATATTTTAGGTCTTTTATGATATTAGCACTAACTAAACAAGGAGTTTGATGACAGAATGAGCACCAACTAAACAAGAAGTTTGATGACAGAGTTACAGGGAATGTTATAGGGAGCAGAGGCCGAGAGATAATGAGATGTTTAAATTGGAAAAAATTAGTAATCGTATGTTGGAAGTTGAGGGTGTTGATTTATTGTGGATCTAAGTTTAAAATAATGGAACTTAAACTATATGAGAAGATTTACCTTAGGATCCATTAANATTTATCTTAGGATCCATTAACCAAATGTGTTGGTATTTCAACGGGCTGTTTCTAGCTTTGTTGGGAGAGCGTTTTTCTGAAACTACTGCCTTCACAATCCAGCCAAACTCTCCTAGTTTGATGTCAGGTATGAGTTTGTAATATGTGGCCATTTCTACCTGCAACGAATTTTATCTAATTAGTAGATGAGAATGGGTAGAAATACAAGAGTGAAAATAAAACATAAATATTGAAGAATATATAAGAAGATGTATTTAAAAATGTTTGAAGTTAATGTATGCTATTAGGTGAAAGAGGAGATTACCTGGGTGAAGTTAACAGTGAGCAAATGAAATTGAAGAAGGTTAACAGGGGGAAGGTTTAATTTGGTTTGTTGTATGTTGATAAATGTGGTGGTAGTGGGAAGAGAAAGTTAGATTTCTATTATAGGAAGAGGAAAATGTTTAGTGGTAGGCAAGAATTTATGGTTACTGTTATTATAGGCAGAAGTTTGTAGTGAATGGCTGTTGGAAGTGGGTTGCCAGGTGATGTGTATATAGGTTTTTGTAATTATGGATCGTGGTCGGTCAGAGAAAGGAAATTAGCAGGTTCATAATGTTAAAATGGCACAAATGAAGGTGGGGAAGATAAATTGGGAAGAGGTTTTTAGTGGTGTTTTTATATGTTGGGAGATGAGAAATAGTAGTGGATGGAAATGATGAAAATTTAGAATAAGTGTAGTGGAAGTTGAATGTCTGTTTTCAATGAAGAATGGAAACCTTTTGGTGGCAGGCAAAATTTTTTGTTCAGTATTATAAGTAAAGGGTTTTAGAAAATGATGCAGGAAGTGGGTTGTCAGGGTAATTATGTGATTTTTGGTAAGGGACAGGTGTCCTTTTGGTGGAATTAGTGGGTGGCAGGTAAGTTAAAACAATTTTGGAGATTTTGTATTGACGTGAAGAAGGAAAATTCTAACTTTCTTCCTCTGTGTAGCTGATTCAGATGTGCTCAATTGGAAGAAGTCAATACCTACATTTAATTTTCAAACAAAACATTTAGTGAGACACTTGAAATTGTAAAATAATGGAAGTGCTTTGCTAACCATTATTAAAAAATGAGAAAAAAATAATGATTACCTCCAAACTTGAGCTTTAATTTTCCTGGCTGGATTGCCTTCAGTGCTGATAATCCAAGAGTGACAGCATATGTTCCTCCATAAGACTGTGCCACCACATAAAGAGGACTGTTTTGGAGGCTCTCATTTCTATTAAAAATTTCTATCAACAATGTAGTTAAATCATTTGCAGCCTTAACATCAGTTTGAACAAGTAGATTTTTATCATCCTGCTCTACAAAACTATATCCAGTCCCAACAGGATTATCCTATTCAAAATATTAAAAAAAAAATTAGAAAAACATATAAAAAAAACCAAGATATCATAACTATGGATAATATAAAGAATTTCATTCTTATCACAAGTAAAAGATCAGCTATTCTCAGCCATGTGGAACTTCTAGGCTTCAAAAAAGTGTCCAAAGGCCCAACCTCTTCAAAATTCCCAATTCCAACTCCAGAAGGACCCTATTCATATTACAAAATTTATAATTCATATTCAGACATAAACATTTCACAAATCCACTAAGTAATAAGGAAACTCAATTTATAACAAAAGTTGCAATAATTGATCAATTTATACAAATTAGTCTTACAGGTCGACTCTGTAGCCAAAGAATGATAGGCCAGGGCTTGTTTGGATCTTGAGACTTGAATGGACTTCTGTAGTACTACCAGAACATGTAAGCCTCTGTTATATCACACATAAAAGAACACCAATATAAGCATAACATAAACATGAAAGATAAGACAAGCAGATGTACAGAAATATATATGAAAATATTTATTCAATTAAAGTTTAAGCAAACACTACCACTCCAAGCTAGAAAAAAGAAATGACTGTAGTCCTATCAAATCTGAACTAAAAGTTTGATCAAACATATCCAATTGCAGAAATTATACTTTCCGAAAAACAAACACAAAAAGGGGACATTTCATCACGAAACAAAAGGGAAACCTTTTCTTCTATCTCATTTTTCAAAAGTAATTGAAAGGTTTAAATTCACTTTTTCATTTGGAATTAGATTGATTAGCAACCAAATCGACTGCTTGTAAAAGCAAAGCTGAGTGGTTAGAGATTACTATACCATGATATCTATACCGCCAAAAGTTTGTAAACCCAATCAGTTCGATTGATGAAGAAACCATGCAATACAAATCGGCGTGCAATCTCAAATCCAATTCCTTTGTTTGCCTCTGTCATCACGACTATGGTATCAGAAGACAACTATCTGAAAAACAATCCACAATTTACAACAATTTAGCTTAAATTTAAATTCTTTAGAGTTAACCTTGACTAACTAACTGAGCTTTACTCCATTGTGATGTAATACAAACTTGCAAAATCACTAAGGAAAAAAGAATAGCAATGAGGACAATGTTACTCTTCTACCGAAGTTAGTAGTTTTAGTAGCTATATCAAATCACATGAAATGGTATTCTTGTGACATTTAGAAAATTTGAATGGTGAACTCTCTCTGATAAGTGATCACATCAAAGATATTTGCAAATATCTACACTAAAACCAATTTTGAACATGTGAAGACTCAAACAATTAATTGCCATTAAGAAAATGAAAATTTTGTGAAGCATATAGAAAATTGCCATACATAATTCCAACTTCAACACGAATTGCCAGAGATCAAAACCATACACACTTAGAAAGTAACTACAGATGCCCAAAATGCTACATCAAGAACTAAACATCAATCTGGAATGCCAAAATTAGTATTACCATGTGAATCAAAGTTGAACCTTACTGCAATCAGGTTGGTACCTTCATTTTGCATTCCAGATCTAGAAGCCAATTCATCTAGCCCCTGGCACCAAGATTCATTGTTGGATCGTGGTAGCAGAACCAAACCCTGTCAAAAGAAAAAAAAACACTGAGGTATGAATTAGCAGCTCTAACCCTGAAAGTTCGGGTAATTTGGTGATCTTCAAAACAAAAAAGGTACATTTCCTACATATTAAAGTAATAACAAGTTTACCTTATCAACTGTGATACCCGGCACAATATTCTCATCTCGCAAATAATCCACAAACTTTTTTCCATCTGTAGTTGACTGGTAAAGTGTCTCTTCGAAGAGAATGGCACCAGAAATATAGTCACCAAGGCTGGGAGTGGTTAGCAGCAGCTGTCTATAAGCCTGACTGTTTGTTTCTGTGTTGTCAAGCCGAATGGATGCCAACCTTTTTGCACATGTTGCATTTGGTTCGTCAATGGCAAGAATACCCCGACCCGGAGATGCAATTGATTTTTGTACACGAAATCAATAAAACAGAAATAAGAAAATGCTTTAGAAATGGCATCGAAGCTTAAACTAAAATCTTCGTTATCAAATGATAGAATTTTGAAATTTCATTAGCTACAAGATTTTGTTCAATCACTCGTATACCCTTATAAATGGGTTAGCAATAGTATTAATCATCTCAAAAAATCTTAAGACTTACATTATTAATGCTAGATTAGATCTTTTTATATTAAAGCTAGAAAAAGAAAAGAAAGGCGGATCAACATTATTAATAATCCAACAAAAAAATATTCGATCCTGTGTAAAACAAATCTGTCAAAAATCAATATGGGTTATCTAAACATGCAAGCAATCGCTTTAAAACTCCAGGAATAATTATAAAATTAAAACAAGTTAAATACATCAATAAATCGTACATGAACACAATGTTCACATCAATGATCAATCCGAAACTGAGTGTTGGATGAGATGAACCTAAGCTAGCACTCTATACTATTAAGCATTATCATGGAGAATACTACTACAGGATTCTAGATCATCGACGTAAATATGACTTATAGTTTATTAAGACATAGTGATATGAAAGCATACCTAAAAGTGATTTCCTCTCACGAGGTTTAAAGATTACTTTGTCCTTCCCAGGTACAAACAAACCACCACTGCTGGTCTCCTCGGATTCTAAAGTTTCTGTTGTTAGGGTCAATAAATCTACCATCTTCTTTTCCCTGAACGTGAAAAATTGATGAGATTGAGCATTCATTTTCTTCAAAAACAGATGTAAAATTAAGCAAGATATAGCAAATTAAACTTTGATGGCAAAATAATAGGTACGCGAAAAATCAAATTTCTCTAAACTGTCAGCAAGATAATATCGCAGTTATTTTGAAATTGAATCATTCACAACAACCAAATCGAGTGCGAAATCAACAGAACAAAAAATTGGTGCCACAAGGGTGACGAATTCGTTTTCCTTTTTCCCTCTCCTTCATAGTAAAATTAGTGTGAGTATGAAGGTCGAGTGCGAGGTGGGGTGGAAAAGAAAAATTAACGATTATGATTTTACGTTTAATAATTTAATAATTTAAACTTAATCGATAATATATTTATTCTTATCACATTTTAAGTTTTTTTTCAAAAATTTAAATCGATCCAAATAGATATTCATATCGTGAAATATCGAATCAAACGAAAAATTGTAGGAAAATAAACTTAAAAAAAAGAAGATATTGGAATGAGGTTATGATTGGAAAGAAACATAAACAATCACGACTTTATGTTTCACAGTTAATATAAAATTATTTTTAATATTTAAAATTTATCGATCATATATTTATCATGGCCGCACTTCAACATTTCCTATAAATTTTAAATCGCTTAAAACGGATGTTTGTAACTCAAAATACTAAATCAAACGTTTTAAAAAAAATTGGCTTAGACGGCATAGCCGAGCTGAGCCATAAAGTCATAAATACTCAATCAAATATTCATATCGTGAAATATCCAATCAAATGAAAAATTGTAGGAACATAAAATTCGAAAAAATGGCATTGGAATGGGGTTGAGTTTGAAAAGAAATATAAACAATCATGACTTTAAACAATTAATGTAAAATCATTTTTGATATTTAAAATTTATCGATCATATATTTATCATGGCTGCACTTCAACATTTTCAATAAATTTTAAATCGCTTAAAACGAATATTTTAGGTTTGCTAAGTCTATTTTGTATTACCAAATATAATATTGTGTTGACACCCAAAATATCCTATGGCACATAAATATGTGGTTGTAATCATCCAAAAACTAACTTCAAATACATCGAAGAAAGGAAAAATAAAATAAAAAAAACTCAAGTTCATTTATATACTAATAATTAAAAATTCTTGAAGGAGACAGAATTATATAAGAGGTACGTGAAATTTGACTTTATCCGTGCTATCTATATAACAACCAAGTTAACAATATGTACCTGAAATTCTTTTGATAATGGGTTGATCATCGTAATGACGCAAGATTCCATTCCATGAAATTTGAAGCGATGGGAGTCATTAAATTTTCGAACCCCACCTTGCATCTTTGCCAAGTACAAAATAAAATGCGAGCCAATTGACGGTGTAAGTATATAAGCACCCAATGTTGTAACCCTATAAGTCCAATCAAATCACCCAGGCTGAAAAGAATGAGAAATCTATAAGAATTTGACATCCAACTAATATACATATTATGCATGCTTATCAGTTTATTGGTAGCAGATCTTTGTAGAAAGGTAGGCTGCAAATTATGGATTTATTGATAGCAATGAATCAACATTTACTTACTAAAATACATCTTACCCTCATTGGAATAGTATTTCTATTATATTCTAAGCATTTTCAATAGCTTTGTGTATTATAGCGTTTCTCGTGTTGGCATCTTGATTGAATTAATAACATACTTCAATAGTTGATTGGTTTGTCACTGGATTAATTTACTTCTTGGGATTGTGGTGCCTTGTAGAATTTTGATCATATCATGCTGTTTGTTGTTGTCAAGGAAACTGAGCAATTTAATAAATCAAAAATGGCAGCGAGAATATCAAATTTCTCAATAAGACACTCAAGCCAAATGTATTAACTAAACATTCAAGAGAACATGTCCATCAATAAAAGAGTTATTTTCAAGCACAGTGGAGTTCAATAAGCAACAAAATCCATCTGAAATAGAAGTACAAGCTTAAAAACAAAACATAGTAAAAACCTGGATGTTAATGCTTAGGATCCAAAGTCACCTAATGAACTAATGCCTCATTCTCCAAAATTACATGCACATTTGCTGTTTCCAAAGCTTGAAGCTCTCTTTTCAACCGCTCAGAAAATACCTTGGCGTCATTGATGCCATAGCATAACTAAAACAAGCATAATTCTTTCAATTAAGAAAAATATTTCTCTATGTATTGTCTAGTTGAGCACGGAATCACTGTGGATATCCAAATAATATGGTATGAATGTGTAGCAAAGCATTTACCATGGTTAAGATTGGAGGTAGGATGTTGAGGTTCTTTGGGAGCTTGTAGTGCCTAGAGTAATAAAATTACAACATAAAATATATTAATAGGTCAGTCCAGCATATCCTTGGAATCCCTATTAGTATATGACTGTGAAGTATCAATCTAAAGATGTTTTATTGCTATGATCTAATTTGTATTCCAAAACAAGATTGAAATTCCTCTCATGATGAATATCCTGATTTGAGATGGAATCCCAACTACGACGTCATTTAGCATATATACAAACTGGGAACTGTATGAGGTAATAAAAACAATGTCCAAGGATGATTTCTCTTTCACAATTTTATGGATATGATTTTGAATTTAAGAGGTCCAAATACTGAATTTGGTTGGACACTAATTCAAGGATTTGCAAATCATTTCCAATCTTACAATTATCTCTCCTCCTTTATGTGCAAATCTATAATTTAGCAATATTTTGGACCTACAAATGCTTAAGTTAATGAAGAGTAAGTTACAGTACAAAATGATTAAAAAAGAAAGAAAAACTCAACTGGAATTTGAGTATCAAATTTAGATCTCGAAAGCAAATTTTTTAAAGATCTTGGGATATTCAAACAACAGGATTCCATTCTTTCTAAACAATGAAATGAATGTTCTGGAAGAAAGATTATTTTTTTAGACCCAATTCACTTTCGAACGGCTGAGGCTGAATGGAATGGCTGAAAAAGAAAAAGAAAAGAAGAGCTTACCAAGGGTGGCTGAATCACTCTTTCCATTCATGTAAATTTAAGGGGTGGACAATTTTAGATTTATCTAAGCTGATATCATTTACAGCTTGAAAGCTTAAGTGGAAAGTTAATTCCTTCAACTCTTAGATTCCACGGTACGTCGTGGTGGTGATAGGTCAGAATTGGTGGGTTAGGGAGAAGATAAGAAGAATTAGTTACATATATTTCCATGTAGATAAAAATAACAAAGGTAAAGTGTGGTTTGTAATGATTATTAGCAAATGTAAATGAGAAGAGATTGTTATGTATTTACCATTGCTAAAATTTCATCGTAAACAACATTTTTAGTACATTTCTTATGTGATTTTTGGATTGTTGTCGGTTTGATAAGAACTTTAATAGATTTGCTAGTTTTCGCTTGAGACAAAGCAACGTATAATTGTCCATGGGAAAATACTGGTTCAGGAAGATATAAACCAACAAAATCAAATGTTTGCCCTTGAAATTTATTGATTGTCATTGTAAAACATGGATGAATTGGGAATTGTGTTCTTTTGAAAGGGAAAGGATTTTTGTCGTTTCGAAGTGGAATGAAAGGTATCCTAGGAAGTAAACTTTTTTTCCTTTATAATCTCCAACTACGATCTCAGTATCTATAATATTTCTTCGAAAACTTTTACAAATCAGCCTAGTTCCATTGCATAGCCCTTCTAAAGGATTAATGTTTCTAAGTAATATGACATGACAATTTGGTTTTAGTATTAGTTCATGTGGAGGTACACCATTTGGAGTTAAAGTATTTAAAAAGTCATCATGCATGCTTTGGTCAGATGTATCAATAGTTTCATCAAAACTAAAATAGGTAAAACATTTTCCAGAAAGTTGACTAATCAACAAAGTATTGATTTCATCAACGTATTCATTTCTCGGAGTTAAAATAACTATTAATTATGTAATGAAGATTGTGAGCATAATAATTTAAATTTGGGTAAACTATATCTATTAATGTCTGTAAAGAGGTAATATGTTCTTCAAAATCTATAGTTATGTCAGGTGGAAGTTGTATCATATTACATGAATGTTTCTTTTCGATTTCATCTCCAATATTGAGTAAATATTTAGAAAATGATGTGTCTAATCGAGCTCTCATGTTTTCACTTAATCTTAGTTTTGTAAATAATGGCCATAAGTAAGAGCTAACAAGACTTACTGCTATTACATCGTCTTTACTACCTCTTTGAACTACAAGTAAGATTTGACGGAAATCTCCTCCTAAGACAACAACTTTACCTCAGAATGGGAACTCACTATTGTTAACATCTCTTAACATTTTATCTAATGCTTCAACTGCATATCGATTCACCATTGGAGCTTCATCCCATATGATTAGTTTTGTCAGTCGGAAAAGTTCAGCAAGAGCACTCTGTTTACTAATGTTACATATTGTGTCACTACAAATCTCTAGAGGTATTTTAAATTTAGAATGTGCTGTTTGTCCACCAGGCAAAAGACCTGCTGCAACACCAGAAGATGCTGTTGCTAAAGCAATCATTTGTCTTGATCTAACATTACCTAGTAAAGCACGATATAAAAAAGTTTTTCCTGTTCCACCAGGGCCATCAATAAAGAACATGCCACTAACATTAGCATCTACTTTATTTAGAATTGTATTATATGCTGCTTTTTGTTCAGTATTAAGTTGATGTGCACACATAATATCTACTTCTGAGACATTAATGCTTAGTTCGTCATTTATTACTCTAGCAGCATGTTCATCTTCTTGTAGGTTTACATTGTATGATACAAATCCATAACTATTAATAGATTTACCAGAAAGCTCTAAAATTGTATGAATTTCTAAAAGAGCTTTATGTTCAGCAGTTTGTATAGACATACCAGTGTGTATGAAATCCTCTATCATAAATATTTTGAATTTGTTCCACAAACTTTTCGGATCATTTGGAGCGCACAAAGTTAGAATTGTTGCAAAAAGACGA